TATCAAAAGTTTTCTCTTGGTCAGTATTCAAAATGAAAAAATGATATAAGCTAATATAAGAGAAGCCTTCTCATTTGACATGTTTTAGTTGGAATTTTTGCAGAGAATAGTTTTGTTACATTTGACAAGATTTTTCAGTCTTGGTATGAGAAACCTGGATGGGATTCCAAGTTCTCGGCCACACTGTCAGCTCGAGTGAGCCAGCTTCTCCGCTCCTGTTCATGTAAATGAGGTGCTTACTTGCATGTTATCTTGAAGACTGACTGAGACAGTATGTGAAGCTGCCTGGCTCAGTGACTGTACATCACAGATGCTCTCAAAACACGCACCCTGTAGAGTGAGGACAGTGTCAGGAGCCATATGTGACTCGTGGCTAAAAAGCTTTGTGATTTGGAAGATTCCACTTAAGTGTTGCGTGACAGTTATTTCTGCGTACTGATTACTAGCCAAATGACTACATTTTGATCTCGTTTCAGAGGGCCATCATGATTTTCCTATTCAGCAAAATGTTTCACATTGGTCAGAAAAAGATCATAGTTTTCGTATGCATTATGGTAGAAACCTCGTACCACTTAATGGGTGATAGATTTCATTGGCATAAAAATACATTTCACATGATAAACACCGTAGAGTATAAATTATACGTGTAATCTGATTCAAAGTGAAATTCTCTGTGGCTGCATTTCTATATAATCAGAGACTTATTTTTTGGAAGGTAGACTAAATATCTGTTTTTCTCTTCCTTATTAATCACAGCGCAGTTTTGAATAAAAAATTTCACTTCGTTGGGTAATAAAACAGTGGACAGTTTCTGGGTGATGACTGTGTCAGGCGTCGTGAGAAGTAGCTCGCCTAGTTTCATCTGCTTCACCGCAGCTGCGAACAGTAGTTACTTTCCGTGAGGTCATGTTATAGGTAAGGGAATATGCGTGAAGGCGTTAGGTGCCGCTGCCCAAGTTCCCGTAGTCAGTGAGGAGATGGCCTAGGTTTCAGATGCAAGCCGCTTGCAGAGAAGGCTCCAGCACAGCCAGTTCTGTCAATGCGTTTGTCCCATCGAGACAGCTAGAAACAGTGGAATGACTAAATGAAAACCAGGCTATGTGACAAAATCTTTCTGTGTTACAGTCTACTAAAGTTTCAGTTTACACTTCCAAAAAACGAAACGTTTGAGTTTCACACAGTGAGAGAATTAAGAGTCTATTGGCCAGTGAGATGTTTCTCATCTTTCTGGCTCTGCATTTTGAATTGTTCCAGGATCATTTCCGAATAAGTAGTTTGCTTTCAGTGAAATTGCGTGGTCTCACCACAGCCCAGACTCCGCAGACCCCCACCCACTCTTGGCAGGTGCCTCCTCCCCGACTCTAGTGAGGGCAGGTCCTGCTTCTCCCTGGGCTCTTCTCGGGGCTTGACCGGCTCTGACCTCCTGCATCAGCTGTCGGGGGCTCCACTGGGCGGCACTAGGCACATGGAGGTAAGATGCGCAGAGTGGGGCTCTTCTCCCCAACTTCCTGCCAGCAACGGTACCTACTGACAGCCATCTAGGTGGCCACACCAAAGCCTCGTGCTGCTTCCTCCTCGCTCAGCCCCACCCACCCCACCCACGCAGGTACCTGTTGAAAAGAAAACAACAGAAAAATTCAAATAGAATATCTTGGAGCCCGTGCTCTTAGTGACTGTTACATTACAGGGGAGGGAAGAGAACTTTTCCTCTACGCTCTTAGGTTTGTTGCTGGGGCCTGCAAATTAAACAGACAAAAGCCAAATCGACAGGAGAAAAATCATACAAATTTTATCGATGTTAATATTTACGTGCTCTGGGGCCTTGCAGAAAATAAGTGAAAACCCAAACTCTGCTTGGGGTGTTCTATATCATTTTAACAAAGGGCGTGAATTGTGGAGACATGATAGGAAGAGGGGGTTGGAGTTGTTAGGGCTGGTAAATTGTGACGGGAGGGTCACTAGGGAGCGGGTAAGGTTTGCTGTACAGACTCACCTCAGTGCCGCTTCCCATATTCCTGGCCCTTCAGAAAGGAACAGCTTCGGAACGGAAGTTACCGTCGGCTTTACAGAGTTCGTGCCCCGCCATTGGCAGAAAGAGGGTGGGCAGAGAGCTTTTCTGTGTGCTGTTCCTCAGTTGCCTTCAGCTCAAAGTCATCTTTATGCCAAAGTGGCTTATTTTGGGGTGGCATATTCTGATCCCCGTCAGCGGCACCATCTATATTTAAGGACAATGAGATAAGTTTTTCTTAATATCGTCTGTACTTTTTGCAAGTTGGAAGAATACATTTATTACTGAGGTAGATGAAGAATGCATTTTTTTCACAAAGAAAGATGCTGTATGTTTATGTCTCCGTGGCATTGTTGGTTGGGTACTCTGCTGTGTGTTAAACATGTGATTCTTTTAAATTTTACTACGTCCTTTCAAGATACAAAAAGGAGAGTCTTCATGTAGTTTACGTATCATGCGACAAATTAAAAATGTAAAGATAGGATCAAAGCGAGGTTAAAGTAGACTTCGTCAAGACCCAGGCCTTCCTCTGAAAGCTCGTTTGTGTAAGAGAAACAGGTTTGACCGAAGCAGAATAATAGTGCGTCACTTGCAGTATGGACAATTATTCAAAAACCATTTTTATTGTCTGCTTCTGAGTTAATAAAATCAAAAGAGAAAATTGTTATTTTTCTCTAAAGGGGCTTCAGATGAGTTTTTTTAAAAATGGATGAACCTAAAATTGAACGATTACAATGAACCTAAAAATGACGCTTTTAAAAAGTCACCGCTGCATTTAAAGTACTTTAGTTTGGTTTATTCCAAAATCCGTCCCTGTTAAAAAGAAGATATCGCTTTATCCACTGGTGAAAAGTGAAGGTGCAGGTGTAACGGGTCAGTGAGCATCTCTGGGAGACACTCTAGGAGCACATGCCGGGCTCCGGGGTAGAAGGTGACGAACGAAGCCCCTGCCACTCGGGCTGTGGCCGCAGGCTTGTGCCTTGTTAACACGTGTGCGCAGTGAGGCTGGCGCCCCCAGGGGGTGGGACCGGGTGGTGGCGCTGCCGCAGGGGAGCGACATCCGGTCCGGGTTAGAAGGTGCAGGCTTCCTGAGGAGGTCGCTAGGTGAGCAAAAGCTCGCATGAGGTGATGACAGCGTGGCCGTGCAGGCAGGGCTGCAGGTGATCATACAGGCGTTTAATAATTTTTACCTATGGGCGTCTGTAAGTTCTCGTAAACTTTTTTTTATTTAGAAGACACTACAGCTATCCTATTATGTACTTGTTGCTAAGACAGTAGCAACTGTCTTACTAAGCATTTTGAGAATCTGCCTTCTTAAATGAAAGCTTGTTCTCTTTTATATTAGTAAATTTAAAAAACCAACTTTCCACTTCGATGAATGGAAAAAAAATCGATAATATTAAGTTAGAAATATTTTTTCTTTGAAGCCTTGGAAATAAGTGAAGGATCTTATAAATTGCGTCTGTCTGACACCTAAACATTGTAATTATGCATTCCTATCTTTGGTTAATCAGTGTTTATTCGAAGTGCCTGATAATGATTCACTTAGTACACTAAGACCTGCAGTTCATTATTTTACTTATTCTGCTTTTAGAGCTTTTAAAGTTTTAAATGTGCAGGGTTGCCCTTCTTTCTCACTCACTGGAATTCGGCGGTTCTGGCCAGTCTGGGTCACTAGCCAGAACCCCACCTCTCCCTGCACAGACCAAGCTGCTGGTTTGATTTTTGGTTTTTGTGGTGTTCTGGCACTGATAAACTTTCTTGGTAAAAAATTATCAAGCAGATATTTAAACACATATGACATGCACAGCACTGTGCAGTTTTCTGAAGAAGGTAGTAGAAACCTCATTCTGAGTCCCTGGCCTCGAGAACTTTGTCATCGCTTCCCATTTATCTACAGACATGTCGAGTTAATGTCCTTTTCTTTCTTCTGTTGATAAGATATTAATGGTAGTGTCATGACCAAAAGATAATCTCTGGAGGTCTAAAAGATAGATTTAAAAAGCCGTAGCTAATTCGTAACCCTGCATCATCCATGGCGACAAGCACAGAAACAGAAATGCCCTGAGAGACCACTGTCGGCAGCCCTGTCCTTCCAAGTCTTTAAAAATGTACTTCTCATTTCCTTAAATAATTTATTATCAAATCCTTGACACAAAACCACAGAAAGGCTCAGATAACAAATACGTACGCACCACCCAGTTTGAGAAATAAAACCACTGCCAGAGTTGGAGCCTACGGGGTGCCCCTCCCATCGTGCAGCCCTCCCCTTCCTAGAAATACCCTCATCCAGACGGAGCTCCCTCTATGGTCTATGGGATATAGAGTCCCGATTATGGAACCAGGGTTCCCTATCGCTTGCAGAAGAAAGTTTTCGTCTTTAGCTTGGTATCCAGATGACTTTTTACTTTCTGGTTCGCATCTCCCTTCTGGCCTTGCCCGGCTCGCCCTGTCTGCAGGCAGCCTGTGTTTGGCCGTGACATTGCTAGGTGTACCCCAAAGGACTCCAGACGCTTCCATTTCATTGTTCATCTTCTCATGAACACTCTTCCTTCATCGCATCTGCTGAAATCACACCTAATGAATACGACTTCTGCTCTGCAGAGAACAGTTCTTTAAAATAAAATGTGCTGTATTTTCATACTATTTGCATTGTATCTCATGACAGTTATTGTATCACACCTGTCTCTTCCACTGCACGTCACCCTCTTTGAAAGACATGTCTGGTGTCAGTAAATTCTAGCAGTCAAGAGACACCTGTTGTAGTTTTCTTATGAGAATATTGGTCATCTGTTTCACTTAGCTGCTCTCTGAACACGTGTCGTTTATGCTTTCTGAGGCTCCTAAGAGAAATCGAATTTTTGTTAATTATGGTCGGACATGTTCATGACATCGTGAGTTTGTCAGTTTTTTGACATTGTCCTATTTTGTATGTTACAGTAGTACCTGCTTTAAAATATCAAAGTAATGTTTCTTTTGTTTTATTTTTCAGGTATTGCTATATGGAGATTTGCCAAAAAATAAAGAAAATATAATATATTTAGCAAATCATCAAAGCACAGGTTTGTATTTCATTTGTATGAAACTTAGGTTTTTCTACAAAACTTACACGAGAATTCAGAGTAATGTTCTTATATATTTAAGTGGAAATTCTTTTTGTTATTGTTGAAACAAGAATTTTCAATGCAAATATTAAATGTGACCTTGTACTTTTGTGATCTTTTTTGGACAGTCGGAAATGTGAAAGCTATGGATTTTCCTATACTTACCTTTTCCCTCCCAATGGATGTGTAAATAAGCTATTTTTAAAAAATCTGCTGCTTTTAATTATCCTTTAGTCTTTACATTCTTCCTTTGGTAAGTTATGTTTCTCGAAGTGGAGTTGGTGAGTCGAGGTGTATATACACTTTATGTTTTTGATTGTCAAGTTGCAGAAAGGGTTGCAAGTGCTCATTTCATGAACACGGTGTTAATTTCTGATGTCTGCAGTTCCTTTGGCCTCTTCAGATGTTTTGGTTTCATTGTAGCTTGTTACTCTATCGGAGGAATCACAGAAGACTCTGGTTTCCAAAGTAGTGTAGTATATACTTTCAATTAGGTCAAAGTACTTTTTTTTAAGTTTTATTTTCTAATAATTATAGATTCACAAGATTTTGCAGATACAAAACATAGAGCCCTGTGACCCCTTCACCCAGTTTACCCCAATGGCAACGTCCTACATATAACGGTGTATAGTATCAAAACCAAGAAATTGATTCGGCTAAGATACTTTTTAGTTCAGCAAATACTTCAGTTAAAAAATATCCCACTTCGTATTTTTTCATACCTGTAACTGCTTTTGATGTACACTTCCTAAATTCCATTTTTATTACTTTAAAAAATATAGTACTCAGAAATTGAAAACTAAAAGCAAGCCTACCAATGATGACACCTGAATGGAAGGTCACTTATGCCCATGGCTGTCTGTTACCATCCTCCTGTCCGCTGTGTCTCTTAATTTATTTGCTTTTATTTTTTACCTATACCTTAGTTAAGGTGCAGAAAGCAGTTTAGCGTCTCAGCGATTACGTTCAGTTTCGTGGGACAGCGTGCCCCTCCCCCTCTCTAATTCACGTCTTCTGTTCCCTTTTCTGTGGCTATGAATACGCTTGTGATCCTAGGACTATGTTTCTTTCACAGAATTTATCAGATTTTTTCAAATATTCCATATTCCCGTTCATTCATAGATATTAGAAAAGTCTCCCTCCCATTTTATTTTTATCGTTCCGTTCTTGTGCAGAGAGAGGGTGGTTCGCAGCCATTGTCAATCCAGACCTCTCTGGTCTTCGGGAATCTCCGCCGTTCGCCCGCTTCGTGTCCCTTCGTGTCCCCGTAACCCCCCTGAACCATCTCCGCTGTGCTCTGCCTTCCACACACCGTCTGCCGGCTCCTGCTTCTTGGCAAGGACGGGTCCCTGCTTGAAATTTCTACAAGTTTTTGTTGCTATCAACTCGCTCACGTCGTCTTATTTTTGCTTTTGCGACCCTTTCTAATACACGTCCGAGTTGTCAGCAGCCTGGGCACGTGTCCTTCGGTCACCTATGTCTGCCTGACTCAGTCGTGAGCTGCGTGCGGTCTTTGTTTTGAGAGCTGTTATAAGCTCGCATTGTGTCCTGAAACTCATTGGTAAAGAAAGGTGTCCCGGGCTTTTGTCAGACATACGAGCACATATAGACTAGTCGCACATGACAGTTTCATTTCACCGTTTTCGGCTTATTTTGTCATGTTTTCTAGACCGAGAAGTAGAGAAGCTCATTTTATTCCTTGTCCGTGCTGCTTTTAGGTTACGTAGGGTGGTTCGTGACTTTGCATTTCATTCATGAAATAAAAAGCCTTTCAAGAAATGGGAAAAAAATGATGACCCAACAACAGCAAAAAAACAAATTAAAAAACACAGCATTTATATTTTTTCAACGTCTGGTGTTGGTTTAAAGTAATTTGAAAGTTCTGATCATCACGTCTTCAGAGCACGCTCCTCACACAGGGCTGCGAAGAGGCTTTCTCCGTCTCGGGGGGCGGGGGGCTGGCGCCCACTGTGGCCCCTTCCGCGCTAACCGGGCTCTGTCTTGCAGTGGACTGGATCATCGCCGACATGTTGGCCGTCCGGCAGAACGCCCTCGGGCATGTGCGCTACGTGCTGAAGGATGGGCTGAAATGGCTTCCGTTGTATGGGTGTTATTTTTCTCAGGTAACGCTTTTTCTTTATATATACTTAGTTTTTAAAAATTTTAGATTTAAAAATTGAACATACCCTTAATATAATAAATATATGGGTTTGGGGAGGTTTACTTTATGAGTTTAATAGCTTACTCTAAATTGAAGTAATTTTATGTAGCATTTTTAATGGCGTGTATTTATATACATGTCTGATTACCCAGATAGTTAAATAGCAAAAATGCAAATGTACGAAAATCAAACAAATAGGAAAATTTAAGACATAGTATTTGATAGAAAATTACTTTTAGAAAGTAATAGTAAAAGTAAGTATGATCTGTAGGGTATTAGAAAAAAACAGTGAGCTATAGATAATGTACTTAGCATGAGTACCACGTACGTAATAAATATTCAGCATTTATTATTTTCTAGAATGCCCTTTATAATTACATAATAACCTCAGTCATGAAACTGTATAACAGGTTCTTTTATATTCAGAAAGAGATTACTAGCATTTTTCTATGCCTTTTTTGGAATAAATTTTCTGATATTTAATTTTTTAAGTATTAAATATAAAATCCGTATAGAAGTCATGCTTGATACTAAGACTTTAAAATCGCTCAAAGAAGAAAGGCTAAAGTTTTCAGTGAGCCGTAGAAGTATGTAGATCGGAAGGTCGTCTCGTGGACAGAGCCCAGTACCAGCCCCGCGTCTCCCCACGGTCCACGGAGGAGTTTGTGTCGTGTGCGAGGCTGCGGTCCTGGGGACACTCATCTCCGCCTCCTCTTTTCCCGGGTCCTCAGAGGAGAGAGAGAGTCACGTGGCTTCTGATGAAAAGTATTTTAATCTACTGGGTGCATATAAAAAATGGAATAAATTACTAGGATGTTGACTTTATGCCAGGAAGTGAAATCTTTGTTGTTACAGGACTTGTTGTTCACAATTTGTATGAAGCAGAAATAATGCTATTCAATAACAATAATTCACAAGCAAAATACGAGGAAACAGACTTTCAAGTTGTGACTTTCTTATACTTACTGTATTATAAAATACTAAGTATTTAATATGGGTACAAAAATACATGTTAACATAGTATAGGTATTCAGAAAACGAAACATTTTCAGACTTCCAGCTTGTGAGCATCGTAAGGTGTACTTTAACTTTAGAATTCACAACAGAGTTATGCTTGCTGATCCCCACCCCCAACGCGCCCCAGGCAGCCAAAAGCAGCTGTCTTGGGAACTTTATCTTTGTGTTAACTTTTAAAAATAAAAGTGCGAGAGAGCGCTCTTGCTTAGTTGGGCCCTGTGACGATAACTGAGATGTGTAGCAGCTGTGACCGACTGCTCATTTAGTCACCGATGCCATTTGTAGCTGCACCTTTTTATGGTCTTGGGCAGTGAAGCTGATGATGTATCAAGTAGGTCACAGATGAGTATTAAATAATATATGAATTATAAATGACTTTCTTCATTGAAAGAGGTGCTTTTACTCCCAGTATTTTTACATTTTCGTTTGTAGTTATTATTTCTTCCTTTATTGTTTTAAACACGAAGGTCACCGTTATACTTCAGTAACATTTAAAACGGAGTTTTTGACTTCCTTAGTTGTTCCTATAAAATGATGAACATACCTATAAAGTTTAAATGATTTTACAGCAAATATAATTGCTTGATAATTGAGGCAAGTTGAAGAAGGCTTGAAATCAGAAGTAGTGGAGGAAGGAAATGTGCTTTTTTGAGACTTTGTTGCTCGGTTCCATGACAAGGGGTCCTAGTGGGGTGAAGTTTTGTATGTGGAGGCAGAAGTGTCATGAATGGCTTCTATAGTGTTTCGGAATTTTAAAGGAATAAGGGCAGGCACCTTTTGAAATAAAAAAGTAATTTGCATCTCAAGTTCACAGCCGGGGCTCTGTGTCTCCATTTCCCGTTTTCCTTGGTTTTCATTTTCATTTCCTTTTTTTCTCCTTCTTGACCTTGTCAGCCCCAAGACAGGCTGGGTTCTCAAAACACAGAGCAGTTTTACGAAACCTTTGAAGACCAGCCTTGGCCTTGGACATTCAGACCCCCTAGGAGGGTGCTCGGTTGGTGGGGGGTTTTGGGAGGGTGTAACCCGTTAAGTTGTGGTCCCGGGAGTTACTGCAAAGAGTAGGTTGGGGGACATCTTTTTTTAAAAACATTAAGTTCTCGTGATCAACCTTAGAAATTTTTTCGTCTTTCTATTTTATTAACTCCCGATCAAACTGAAAATCTTGGGTTCATTCCTGAGGTTCTAAAGCTGATTGGGACTTTAGCCAGGATGACTTCATAGCCTGATTTGTGCCTGGCAGACCTCAGAATGTCACATCGAGGGCCCATGAATTTCACTTCAGTTTTTGACTGAGTACACGGGCCCTATTCTTCTGTTTCTCGGGGGGAGAGGAGCAAAGCAATGTGGGTGTGCTCGCCAGCTCCCCAAGCTCCTGGCGATGCTGAGAGGCGCTGGCGTGCTGCGCTGGAGTTCAGATAAAGTTGCTGATTTCCGCCTTCAGCCTACAGCGACTCACTGCTCAAGTGTGTGTGCTCCAGCCACGGCGAGGCCCAGCGCCCTCGCATGTCGTCATGGTCCCCCATGACCTGTCTCCCTGTGCCGACCTTCCTTTCCAGCCCGACTCCGTCTCTCAGCTCCACGGCCTCCTTCAGAGGTTCCTGTAGTTCGCTCCGCCTATGAGGCCCCGTTTCTGAGCTGGCAGTTCCTCCCCTTCGGTCCCGCTCCTCTCCGTGGCTGTCCTCCCTGCGGCGCTCATCAGGCTCTCGCCATGGCGTACGTGCCCGCGCTTCACTTCCCCACTGACCAGTGTGTTCCGTAAGGAGCGAGACTGGTCTTCGCTTCCGTATCTTCCACATACCTGGAAAAGAACTCAGATGGTTTGGAATTAAAGTAGACTTTAGTAAACAGGTTCAACGACAGGGAAGAAATATTATGGAAAGGATTGGTATAATGTCACCGAAAGCCTGGGAAAATTTTACTTGGCAGTATGTGCATTCTGTGGCTTTTGATTCTAACTTGAATTTACTCTCGGGCTTCTCCGGGCCAACAGCGACACGCATGCTAGACAGCACCGCACTTCCTTCTTTGCGCCCAGGTGAGCCAGTTCCTGTGCGGCCGGCCCGGCCGCAGCCGGAGGCCTCCTCGCTTCCCCTCCTCTCTGTCCCGCCCCCTCCTTCTTTTCTCTGTCCATTTCCTGTCACTCAAATCCTTGATTAAGACAACATCAAACTCAGCCAGTCCATTTATTTTACAGCCGAGTTCAGATTAGCACAGAGGAATGCAAAAAAAAACCACCCGACCCGATCGTTTCAGTGACGTGCACATACGAAGTTTAATTAAGGGCACCCGAAGCTTCATGGAAGTGCCTGTATTAGTTTGCTGGGGCTGCCATACCAGGATACCACAGACTGGGTGGCTTTAAACAACAGAAATGTATTTTCTCACAAATCTGGAGGCTGGGAGTCCAAGATCAAGGTGTCGGCAGGGTCGGTTTCTCTTGAGGCCTCTCTCCTCGCCTTGCGGTTGGCCGCCTTCTCCGTGTCTTCCCTCTGCGCACCCATGTCTGTGTCCTCATCACCTCTTGGAAGGCACCAGCGCCATGGGTCAGGGTTCCCGCTCCAGGACCTCGTTTAACCTCGATGACTTCTCTAAATGTCCCCCGTCCCAATACCATGACTTCGGGGGTTGGACCTCAACATAAGGATTGGGAGGGAACACGGTTCAGTCTACGATGGCGCTACATGCGTATCTGTAGCCGGGTCACTTTTGAAATCCCGAGATTGTGAATGTTAACAGTTGAAGGACACTTTTTAGTGATTCTTTAATAAGTCGGGGGAAAATGGAGAACTAAGATCCATCTGCTTGATCGAGGTTTTATTTTTAAAGTGTATTTTTAAGAAAACAAGCTTTTTTATTTTAACTGTGAACAAAACTAAATGTTAATATATTTTCCAATAACATATGCAGTTTTATTTGAGTTACGTTGAAACATAATTAGGAGAATTTTAGGAGCATTTTCGGTTAATGTTCATTAGATGCTAACATTTGAATGGGTTAAATATAGTTCAATTCCTGAAATGTGGTTTTCTCCTTTACCCTTCGGGAGTAAAGTTGCCTTTTGGCTGAGGTGACTTAGCACAGTAAACACTCCCCCCTTGTGTTCACGTGGCAGCACGGAGGAATCTATGTGAAGAGGAGCGCCAGGTTCAATGAGAAGGGCATGAGGAGGAAGCTGCAGAGCTACGTGCGCGCGGGGACCCCGGTGAGTGAGATCGCACGCGTTTTTAACATTTTCCTTATCGACGCCCGTTTTTTAGTTTAAGATGTCATCAGCATTTAAGAGTTGTTTTGAAGACACATTGTCCCATGTGTAATGAATGCTTCAGAGTTTTATTAAGGCAGCAAAAGGCCTCTAAATAGAGGTAAGTCGTCCTTTTTGCCCATCAGAATGGTCGCTGCAGACAGTTCGATCCTTTGCTGGAGGTTGTCAAAAGTGACCTCAGAGAGGGGTGACAGGAGGAACACTTGGTGTCCTTAGACTATAAATAGGAAACAGGATTCCGCTTGTAACCTCACGCTCAGCTGCTGAGGGCGCCTCTGCCTCCTCATCGGCTTCAGTGTCAGGTGGCGCTTTAGAAGAAACAACTGTTCTCTGTCTGTGAGGACAGACTTGGGTTTCTTGTTACTGAGTCATTCAAAAAGCCAAAAAAAAAAAAAAAATCAATATCTACAAAGAATCATTTAATGTAAATATTATTTTATAAAATTTTGCTTCCCCCAAAACAGAACCTCAACATTCTCTTTGAAGGGTGCCGATTGCCACCGAGTGGCCCCTGCCCCTGGATCCCCCAGGCCAGGGCAGTGTGACTGCAGGGACTCGGGGCTCTGTTCCCGTTCTCCCTAGAGTGACCCGGTCTGCTTTCCTGTTGCTCAGAAACTTAGCTCCCGGCTCCGAGTCCTCTCCTCTCCCTCTCCCGTGCCCCGTCCCCTCCTCCCTCTCTCTCCTTCCTGTTCTCTCGCCAGGGCTGCTGGGTGGCAGCCAGAGCTCGTAATTAAGCAAGAGCTTTCCACGGTCAGCTGACGAAGTGCCCTAGTGTTCGCGTTTTTCACTTACAGGCCCTCTCGGCTGTTTTTACGTTAGGGAATTGCACCCTGCTTTGGGATGACCTGAAGCAGAAGGTAGCGGGACAACAGTGCACCTGTCCCCTGTTACCGCTCGCCCTTGGGAATAGAGCAGAGCCTTTCAAAAGGGTCTCTTTCGTCTGAAACAGTTTGGTATATTGGGGCAGTACGGGGGTCATTATTTCTAGATCTCTCCATGATAGAATAGATTGTCAAGACGTATGTCCACTTTCGTTTTAAAAAAATATTTAAATTTTCAGCATTAACTTACACATCAGAGTCCAGCCCACTCTCCCTCAGCCTTCTGTTCGGCCCCGCACAGGTGACTGCCCGGCTTCGTGTATGTCACACAGACCAGTACAGTCCCCACCCTACGTGAGTTTTACGTGCTGCACACAGTTCCTCCTTGCTTCTCTTCACCCCAGTGAATAGAGCTGTCCGCAGTGCCGAGGCCGAGAAGCTGCACCCTGTACGTGACCTGCCACTTTTCTCTGGCGGCTTCGTGTCCCCTGGCCTTTGGCTCACAGCAGTTTGTTTTATGTACCCGAGTGCGACCTTTTTTCCTCTCCATATTTATCCTGGTTGGTCTTCTCTAAGCTTGGGTCTTTGGTGTGGTGTCTGTCATTAATTTTGGAAGATTCTTGGCCATTATTTCTTGCAATGTCATCGCAAGCCTCTTCTCTCTTTCTTCTCCAGTCACACGTATTTTAGGTCGTTTGACTCTGTTCTGTGGCTCTCGTCTCGGATGCTTCTTTGCTGTTTCGGGGGTTTTTCTTTCACTCTGTCTTATAAGCACGTGTGGCAGGCAGTTCGTATCATTTCTGTTGACCCGTCTTCAAGTTCGCAGATTCTCCCCTTGACTTTGCCTGGTCTCTGAAGAATCGGTCAGTCCGAGGCAGTCGTCTTGTCGTACCGTGGTCTTCATCCCCAGCAGTGCCCTTCGATGCTGCCGCGTGGTGTCCTTGTCTGCGCTGGAAGTGCCCGTCTGGTCCTGAAGGTCGTCCGCCTTGCCCACGAGGACCCTGCTCCTGTCTCGCGTAATTATTTTAGCCCCCGCCTGGTCATTGTGGCCTCTGTCTCTTCGGACTGTGCGTTGTCCTGCCTTTCTTAGGCACCCAGGACTCTGCTGGGAGTTGGGCTCTCGAGTGGCGCAGTCGAGACAGACGAGGATGGTTTTGGTGGCTGAGGTGGCATCAGGGCCTTCGGCATGGCTGCTGCATCAGGCCGGTCGGGGCTTGTCCAGCGTTTGGGTTTTGCCGCTGCTGTACTTTTTCTCGCAGGCCGCAGAGCCCCGTGGCACTCATCGGGGCGCGTGAGGGTGGGACAGGGCGCGCTGGGGTTTCCTCAGCGCTCCTTCGGCGCTCAGCTTTTTCGCCGCCAGTCTCCCGTTTGCACCCGTCCATCGTCCATCGTCCTCTGACGCCGATGCCGGACGAGGGGAGGCGTGTTCTGTTGTTCCGATCGGGTCTTAGGGAGGGTCTCGGAGTGGCAGCTTCTCTGACCCAGCCTTGCTCCCAGCTGTAACCCTGCCCCCCCTTCCCGCCCGGGGCTCTTTTCTGTCCACCTCCCAGCTGCACTGGGGTTCACCCGGGTCCCAGCGGCGGCCGGGCTGCATTGCCCGTGGGGCAGGAGTGGAAGACCGTTCTGGAGGAGAGGCCGCGGGTGGGGGGACGGACTGCACCTGGTGCCTTTCCAGCACGGGCACCGTCCTCCGCCCTCCCGCCCGCGTCCTCGGCCCGCGTCCCCGCCCCGC